AGGGCTTGGCGGAAGCAGCGGTCCAACTGATCTTTCTCTGTTTCTCTCTCTCTCTCTCTCTCCCTCCTTCCCTGTTTTAAATGTGTTTGTAGTCATGTGTTTTGCTCCGCAAAAAGATATTAGTATCATCGCATTATGACGATCACTCTCCGTCCTGGAGGTCTCCGTTCAGTCGCTGGATTTCCTTGGCTGGAGCTGGAACTTCTCAAAGAAACTCGGACTCGACTCGTTGCAAAAAAACACCCTCACCCTAACTCCCATAGCCGACGGTTGTTACGCATCCCTCCTGAGTGGCGCAGGCAACATGCAGGACACCACCTTTCTGAAGCTCCTCGGTGGTGGGTTCCAACTCAAAGCAAGCTTCCCGCACTCTGTAGTAGAAGACCATGCGAACCGGGGCTTGCAGGAGCTGTAAGATGCAGTGCAGCGCAAGCCTGAGGAGAAGGCCCAGTGGAAGCGAGCGGATATGTGACTTTTCTCGCAGGATGCTAAGGCTCGTAGTACAGTGGAAGCAGTTGATGGCATGGAGTAGATGAGTAGACATCTTTTGGCCACGAACCCATCGAAGACACAACCGATGACAACTCAGACGAACACATCGCAACACAAAGCCTGTGCTGCTCTAAATATATCCAACCCTTCGATTTCTACAGTACGGTTTATGCTGTCGAGATACCTCTAAGACTCGTAAACTCGTAACACAGTTGCGCAAACAAATCTCAAGGTGCCACGGCCATGTGACCGTGGGACAGTGCACAAGCACCGGTTTGCACCGATCGGTGCTCCGTATCGATCGCTAGACTTTGACACCTGCACCCCTAGCCGCCCTAACATAGCGACCGCACGCGGCCATCGGCTCAATTATGGAAGAATCGCCGCGAAGCCTATGCTGGAAAAATGCCTCTGAATGCCTGAGGCACATGCCAACATCGCAGTGGTCGGTTGCAAAGCCTGTCCGGTTCAGCTGAGACTTAGGAAACCCAGTTGGGGACGTATGTCTTCGGGCGCAATACTCGTTGCAGTCTCTTCAGCGTCTCGAAGCATTGCCAGGATCTGAAACCCTCGCACTTGTGCCTGCAAGGGCTCCAGTACACCATCAAGAAGAGGCAACAAGGGAAAACGGTCACCTCAGAAAGCATCTTGCTCCACTCCGGAAGTTCAGGGCCTGTCGGGAATCTGGACCGAACCACTACGCAAGATGCCAAAGCCCGACACCCCAAGCACCAGTACCCTCCTCCGATTTTTCAAGGGCCCCGCCAGGCTCGAGACGCTGCCGTAAAACATCACGACCTCCCAAAGCTCCGGCAGCCGGTGCTACGAAAATCCCGCTCGAGCTTGATCATCAGCATTCGCAGGATCAGTAGCAACTCTTGAAAGAGGTTCTGCAGGTCTGCATGCTTCTCTCCGCAGGTCTGCGGGGACGTTTCTGCCAAACAAAGGCCAAGCTGTCTCCGAACCCAAGGTTGGGTTTCCTGTCAGACCCTACGCAGGCTTTCCGAAGCTACACGTGCTGAGGGCCTCAGTATGCCTCTGTGCTTGAAATCTGCAACTCCATGAGTTGGACTGACCGTAAAGTTAACAACAATGATAATTATAATCAGAATGATAGGAACAATGTTCAATCACCCGCGCGCCTTGATGAACCATGCCGCCTGAGGTCGTGAAGTGGGAAGATTGAGAACAGAAGTGGACTCAAGAATCATGTGTCGGATTGCGGCCTCCGTAGGGTACTGCTGAACAACGTCCAGGAGAGGCTCTGGATTATCTTCCGCCTGACACCGGCCCGCTCTCGCATGCACAAGCCTGCCTGATGCAAAGTGTATCTATATATCAGAATATCTGTATATCTGCATATCTATGTACCTGTATATCTACATATCTTTACACACACATATATATATAACATAATATAAATATATATATATATATATATCATGTTAGTCAAGAGATCGCTGACGTTCGAACACTCACGGAGCACATCCCTCGCGACCGCGACTTGGAGTTGGCCACACGGAATATTATATATATACACACACATATACATATGTGTGTATATATATATAATGTCAGTCAAGACATCGCTGACGTTCAAACACTCACGGACCAGCACCGACATGGGGTTGGCCACACGGAATATGATACGACCACGATCGGATCTTTGATCACCAAGTTTTCCGTCCAAATATCCATGCGGACATTCGCTCATCGAGCTGGTGCTCGATAGCTGAAGCACGAACAATCGAAACGTCCAAGCACGTCCCAGGCCCTACATCCCGATAAGGAATGTGAGCTGCTGGTGGATCCATGCTCCAGTGGACCCACGGCCAGATCAAAGCCGGTTGTGACACGATCGGTGCACTCCACGCAACTGAGCTTGAGACCTCTGGGTCATCAAGTTAACCGGAGATTCTAGTAGCAGAACTGAACATACAGCCATATTTCACTTCAGCGATCGCCAACCTGGGCTCAGAAGGTGTGGACCACCAGGAAGGCGACCACGAGCCATCGTCGGCTCTGCAATTGAATCGCCCACATGCGGCGCTGCCATTGGCTGTGATCAAGCCCCTCTAAGAGCGATCGGCTCGAGCTTCAACGTCCCGATGCGGGAGCAGCTGTCTCATGAACCGCATGCCGAGCGCTGTCGGAGAAGGTAAACAACATGCAACCCTCTCTGGAAGGGGAACTTTCAATACCGAGCACAAGGATCAGGTTGCACCGGCTACGCCCCGAGCTGCTATGTCAAACGCGAAAATGCGAGGGCTTGGTGCGAGCATTTCCCGAAGCGACTGGCGGCTGCCTCGTCTCAGGAGGAAGCCCGACCCCAGGAGCAGGATCCGCTCCTAGCAACCGGCCACACTAAACCCTGCAAATCGCCGCGCAAACCAAATCTATGCACAGGTAGCCCTTCGCGCCCAACCGCACGAGCGCACCGCCGGCAGACTACACAAATTGGAGGAACAGCGCCGCGGGCGACCATGCGATCGCTCAGAAAACTTCGCAAAGTCGGCGACCCTCATCCCGCGGGAGTGGTCGAACGCCCGCCTGGAGGTGAACTTGCTGAAAAACTCGAGCCAGAGTCCGCGAGAGGCTTCTTGAAAGAAAGTCCATCAGTAGCCGCATCAGCTCGAAAGGGGCAGCCGCGTCTTTCCACCGAGAGCGCAACCGACAATGTAGTGTCGCTCTTGCTATATTGCACATTCACACAGAGAGCACCGACACTCCGGAAGATCTTCACGTGCGCCAGAAGCCGAACTCGAGCACCGGCATTAAGCGGCGAGCCATCAAAAGACGAGTGGCCGCCCTCTTGATGTAACTCCCGCCCCAGGCCCTCGCTGCGGTCGCGTCCGAGGCGACCAGCCGCAAACCACCATGATGCCGGGGATGACCAGCCGCACGCACAAGTAAAACAATATCAATGAGACGAGCAAAGAACGGGGCAACAATCGCTCACGATGCTCTTGCCCTAAAGGCGCAATGTCTAAGCTGCGCTCGTTGCTTCCTTTCGCCTCGGCTGCTTCTTCTTGCAACCGAGAGACGAACGAGCAGCATCAATGGTCCGGCGAGCGAGCTGAGCGAGCTGCTCCCGCTATTCAGAAATATAGGCAACGCGGCCCCAGATCGAAGCAGCTGTCGCAGTAGCATCCAGTGTAAAGACCACAATCACATGGTAAAGATCATCATACGTGCCGAAGGCGATTGCCAGCAGTGCCATGATGAGCTTCCAAAACAGCAGGCGTGGATCTACGCAGGCTGTTCCGCCCCTCAGGGAACAAGTCACCGTATCTATTGTCTTAATGCGAACATTCACGGCGCAGATCTGCCATTTCAATCTCAGATCACGCCCGCGTGAACACTCCAGCAGCGTGTGCGACCCAGTGCCCGAGCGATCTCTCGGTCTGTCTGCCAGCATATCCGATCGCCACCGCGATATAAGCACTGAGCCAGAGGCTACAAATCTGACTCGGACCTTTCGGTCTACCAGCAGTTCTGCGGTGAGATGCTGATCAGGTCAGCTAATGAAAGCTGGCTCAGGCCGTGGATCGTCATCGCCGTGTTCAACGGCTGGAACGTTTCCGTGGTCTCGTTCGAGGTCGGGGGAAGGTCCTACTCCATCGGCCGCGGGGTTCTGTCATGGTGGCTCCGAGTTACCGCTCGTTCGAGCGAGGAAGGCTACGGAAACGATGCTAGCAGCATCTCGGCTCGGCTCGCTCCCTCAGTTGGATCGTCTTGGCGCCGGCACAGCCCGAACTGGGGATCTATCCAGCCGGGGGAGCCTCGCCGGAGGGAACGACATGGCCAGGATGCTCTATCTGAAAAGCTCCTGCGCCGATGAACAAGTTCAAAGGCGATCGCCATGAGGCAAAATGGATAGATAGGTATGTGTGTATATATATATATATATATGATGTATGTACGTACGTACGTACGTACGTACGTACGTACGTACGTACGTACCTATGTACCTACGTACCTACGTACCTACGTAGATTATATATATATATATAGGTATGTGTATATATATATATACACATATATACATATATACAGATGTATATGTATGTATGTATGTATGTATGTATGTATGTATGTACGTATGTAACTATAAATAACTTTATGTATATATGTATATGCTCTTGGTTTTCATGCCGAATGCCTGGGCATTGTTGCCATCGAAGAAGGACAGCACTCGTCTCTGCGCTGAGCGAATTGCTCTGCGAAGGATCGGTGGCATCGTGGCATCTGCCGCTAGCTTGGAAGGACCAACTCTTCTTTTGGGCGTCGGTTTAGGGTTTAGGGTATCCTGCCTGGCAGTTGGAGCTACACAGAGGTTGCATGAACGTTCATGTCATGCATGGGCCCCAGCATGGGATGGAACGATGACTCATCAAGCACGATACGGCTGCAGGGTTCACTTCGGATCGAGCTTTGCGGATTCACACGGACCAGCCCCCAGCAGCTCCAGCAAACTAGCAGCGCACAAGCTCTCTGTGGTGCGCTGCCCGGACAAACTGGTGATGGGCGTCGCGCTTGCCTTAGTTTACATGGTTCTTCCTTCTTACACAATCCATGCGTGCGTCTACATCACTTGCCTGGGCAATCCCAAGGCAAGGCATTCGGTCCAGGGCGGAAGTTAAGACATCCTCAGAAGCCTGGACCCACAAGCAGATGCAATCCTTCGCTGGCCCTCTGCTATCACGGGAACTCTGGCAGCTGCACCTCTGAGAAGTCACACACACATGCACTTATAGGCTGAACACTCCTTGACACTCGCTCGGAGTTTTGGCCCGCTTTGCTGGCCAGGGCGTTTTGTGTATGATGGTCTATGCTGCGCCGGGGCACAAGGGGGATCGTTTGCAAACAGCCGACGGGCTGAGTTAAAAGACTTCAAGCATGCAGCACCGGCTGAACCACAGGTCCCTTGCATGCATGCGTAATTTGCAGATCGATATAATTGAATTAAGCCGGGCAGGGACCGTCTGCTTAGTCCGGTTTGCCGAAGCTTGCAATCAGTATCACTCCAACCTGACATTCGCCAGTCACAAGAGGTCTCGGACGAAGGAGCTTCTGACTTCTCTGAGCGCTGCGCCAATTGTAGAAAGAAGGCACCGAAGTAGATCATCAGCTGCCGTTGGCCGGTGATCTCGCGGAACCTGATGCCGTCAACTCAAGCACCGGGTACGGGAAAGCGAGCGAAGCTCAGTGCCGCAGTCACACTGTCAATGAGGCCCCGGCACAAAGACTGAGAGCAAGCTTGAGACCAATATGGGACCGACAGCATCGAGAGTATATCCCACTGAGTAGCCCAAGTATTTGATTCCTTGGACGGTGCGATTGTGCTAGGCCCGATGGTGCAGAGCATTGACTCTAAACGGCTGCACTGTCTCACCCCACGCCAGACTAAGCACTGTGCCTTTCATCATGCACGCGAAGCCCACGCCCCATATGCAGCCGCTGGCATATGCAGGCCCAATCACGGACTTCTGCAATTTCACCTGCGAGCATTTCACAGCTATTTCTGGTCGCACAAGACTGTATACGTTGCAGTAGTCTCCAGTAACTAAAGTAAGTAGTAATGTCCAGTACATCCTCGTACATTCTGGCGGAAGTTATTAACCCAGCAAGGCTGGAGAGCAGAACCGCTCATGTGCCAAGTCGATATGATCCTCTTGGTCCGGGCGGTGGTGTTCCCAATATCTCTGCTTGCAACTCTTTTGTGGTTCGCCTACAACTACAACTTGCTAACAGTGCGGCCGAGCCACACCGCGCACGACAGCGATGCTTGAGTACAGCATGAGCAGCACGCCTCAGCCGATTGAGCCCAAGCGCTTCTGCCAAAGCCGGCTCACTCAAAACATCACGCTTTGATTCCGTCACTCTTTAGACACGTGTGCTAAATTCGGATCTATGCCTTCCTCTCTGAGCAAAAATACCGCTTCAGATGATGATGCCTCAGGGGTCACGCTGGACATTGCTTCAGGGCCTCCCTTCCCTCTGCTTCCAAGGCTCTGGAGCATGCCCATATTCCGAAGCATTGTGGCCTCGCAGCTGTAACATCCTACGCCTAGAGGCTTTGAGGTGGCAGACGTATGAATTCGCCCAGTCACCCTCCAAGTTGTGCTGAAGCTGCACGTCTCCACACATATAGTGCTGGCAAGGTGCAAGGCAACTGCGAAGGCATGCACGTCGGGATGCTCTTTTTCCTTGCAAAGGTGCGGCACTGGACCGCAAGACCCTGCAGATCATGCTACCATCAAGATTCCTGCTACCAGGGATCCCAAAGTGTAGCGGGGACACCTTGGACTCCACAGAGGCCCCCCGCTACCACAGCCAGTAGGACGCCCACCACTTTCCGTGCTCCTTTTGCAGGGTTTCATGCAGCTGCACAGGCGGATTCACACGAACTCTCTGAAGACGAATCTCGTTGCAACGGCAACGGGTCCTGGGCCAAGCGTGTCTAAGGAGGACTTGCGTCGGTTTGGGTCCCTCTGGTCAACCTGCGGGATGAAAGGCCCTTGGCTTAGGAACTCTGCGAAGATGCATGAAACGGCTCCGCCGTAAGGGAGCAGACTCTTGGTGTGGCTGCAACAAGATCATCATGATATTAGTATTAGCATCATGTTGATGTTTATCATCATGATTTGTGTTATAATTGCTAGTCTTCCTCACTACCATTCTGACGGTTATTATTACAATTATTACTATTCGTGCTATCACTACGATCATTACTGTTATTACTATTCTTTCTCTATGATTACGGCTATTACCATGATTACTTCCATTACTACTATTGCCATTATTACTAGTACTAATATTAGCACCGGTATTACGATTATTACCACTATTACTATTTCAACTCTTATTCATGGTTGCTGTTGATTGTGTACTGACCCCAGCAGGACCATGGCCTTCCTCGTGGCCAGTTGGCGGTTGGAGGGGGCCTCCGGGCACTGAAAACCGAAAGCGTGCCCTTCATATTTCGCTTCAGGGTTTAGGGCCTGGGTTTTTTTTATCACCTCTTTTCCTTCGCCTGAAAGGGCCTGGGGATTAGGGTTTAGGATGGTCTAGGTCCCAGGTTTTATGCCCCGATTCGTTGCAGCAAAGACGCGCCGAAGACTGAGAAACCGCCCACGGACATGAAGTTCATGTCGCACTCTGCAGCGGTCATCCCCTCACCTCTGCTAGTGCTAGCTTCTGCATGCTCTAACCATAGTCCGGCCCTAGCTTGTCAAGAACCCCAATCAGAACCAGAGTTGCGTCATCAGGTTAATACATGGGTAGTTCTCTGAATTAGGGTCCCTTCTAAGGTCCCTTTTAAGGGTGCCGTACTATGTTGGGGACCTAAGAAGGGACCCTAATCTAGAGAAAAACCCACATGGGGATGTCATGTCAGATTTTGCCGATGCTGAGCACAGCACCCACCAAACTGTCGGTCGAGGAAGCTCTGCCTCGGATGGATCAAACTCTGAGCACCTCCAAGGTGGCCCAAAATATATACTCTGAACAGACCCCAAAAGCGTTTTATTGAAAATTTCAAAAAAAGCCGACAAGCAAGGAAAAATCGCTCAAAACTGAAAGCCCCAAACCCGCACACTTTGAACCCATAAGGAAAACAAACCCTCCCCGTCTTCTTGGTCCCAGTGCTCTCGTCGCTTTCCTCGGAGTCCTCGGAGTCCTCGTCATCACCATGGCCTGCCTGCGCAAGTCTTCAAAAAGACGCCAACCGTCGGAAAAGATGTGGCGACAATAAGCCTGCGAAGAAAGACAATGACCATAATTATGATAGGGTTAATCATATTCATGGTACGAATGCTGGTCGTGCTAACCATAAGAACAACTTTACGACGACGAAGAAGACCTGTGCGCTGGTGCTCCCAAGCGAGCGCGTGCCGTCCTGCTGCGTGGCAGGCTGGGGCTCCGGGCTGCCGTTCGAGCGTTGAGGTGAGCTGAAACTAGTGACGAGTGATCACGGTGATGATGATCAAGACGACGGAATGCTGAAGCAGATCCCGATTCTGGTATTGACCAATACTCACTGCTGGTTCAGAACCGACTGCCCGCTTCTCCTAGACCAAATCCCGCCTCGACAAATACCATGATGAAGAAGGACATCAGAATCAAGAGGCAGCCACCATCGCCTGGACTGCTCATTCGCTGAGACACAGTCCCGAAAACGGAACACATGCATGCTGCCATGTTTTCGTGTGCCCTGTCCGACAGCATGATACGAGTCTAAGACCTGTTCCAGAAAGTCAAACTGTGTTTCTGCAGCTTCGTGCGGTTCGGGTGCAATAGACCAGTTTCCCTGTCAGCGGGGTCACGCCGAAGAGGCCGAACCGGCCGATGCAGTATCCAACCATCAAGTTCCTTAGATGTTCTCTCTTGAGGGTTCACTTCGCTTCGCTTCGAAGAGGCAAGCGGAGATTGGACGTGCTGTAGTCTTGTGAGACTAGATACGGACAGTCTTTTGCCTTGGCACTGAAACGGAACAGATATGCATGCATGCATGCATGCATGCATGCATGCATGCATGCGTGGATGGATGTGTGTATGTATGTATGTATGTATGTATGTATGTATGTATGTATGTACGTAGGTACGTAGGTACGTAGG